TGGCCTCAGATCTACTTCATATAGTAAACAAATCTCTTTACTCAGGTATTTTTCCACAGGCCCTGAAAACTGCAGTCATTAAACCGCTCTTAAAAAAGAATAATCTAGATGCTTCAGTAATGAACAATTACAGGCCCATATCAAACCTGCCATTTCTAGGTAAAATCATTGAAAAGGTTGTTTTTGAACAGTTGAGTAATTTCTTGCATTTAAATAACTGTTTCGATGTGTTCCAGTCAGGCTTTCGTCCAAACCACAGCACTGAGACTGCTCTTGTAAAGGTCTTTAATGACATCCACTTAAACACAGACAGTGGCAGAACTTCAGTGTTAGTATTATTAGATCTCAGTGCTGCGTTTGACACTGTTGACCACAGCATATTACTAGACTGACTGGAAAACTGGGTGGGACTTTCGGAAACAGTTCTAAATGGGTTTGAATCCTACTTAAAGGACAGAAACAACTTTGTTTCTATAGGTAAATACACATCTGAGTTGACAAATATGACATGTGGGGTTCCTCAAGGCTCCATCTTGGGGCCTCTTCTCTTTAACATCTACATGCTACCTGGCTCAGATAATGAAAAACAACAAAATAAGTTACCATAGCTATGCAGATGACACACAAATTTACGTAACAATTTCACCAGGAGACTATGCTCCAATTCAAACACTGAGTAAGTGCATTGAACAAATCAATGACTGGATGTGTCAGAACTTTCTCCAATTAAACAAAGATAAAACTGAGGTAATGGTTTTTGGAGCCAAGTCAGAACGTATAAAAGTTAGCGCTGAGCTTCAGTGTGCAATGTTCAAAACAACAGATAAAGCCAGAAATCTAGGTGTAGTCATGGACTCTGACCTGAGTTTCAACAGTCACATTAAAACAGTTACTAAATCAGCCTACTATCACCTAAAGAATATATCTAGGATTAAAAGACTAATGTCACAGCAGGATTCGGAAAAACTTGTCCATGCCTTTATCTTCAGTCGACTCGACTACTGCAATGGTGTCTTCACAGGTCTCACTAAAAAATCTATTAGAAAGCTGCAGCTGATTCAGAACGCTGCTGCTCGAGTCCTCACTAACACTAAGAAAGAGGATCACATCACTCCTGTTCTGAAGTCTTTACACTGGCTTCCTGTGTGTCAACGAATAGATTTCAAAAATATTGCTACTGGTTTATAAAGCACTGAATGGTTTAGGCCCAAAATACATTAATGACCTCCTGCTAAATTATGAACCATCCAGATCTCTCAGGTCTTCAGGGACTGGTCAGCTTTCTGTCCCCAGAGTCAGAACTAAACATGGTAAAGCAGCATTCAGTTATTATGCTCCAAATATCTGGAACAAACTCTCAGAAACCTGCAGGTCCTGTGAGGAATTGCAGTATCTCCTTCTCCTTTTTTCTGTTTGTCTGTCTTCCTGGCTGGGCGTGGTTGACCTACTTTCCGTTTCCCGCCAACTCACCTCCGCTCCTGTTTCTCATCATCACTGATTACCACTACTCACCTGCTGCTGCTTAAAACTCCGGTTCGATCATCAGACTTCGCCAGTTCTTCGTATACTCACAGTGGTAAACTCCAGTTCCGGCTGACTAGAATTGCTAGTCTTTTTGTATACTCTTCCAGTTGGATTTTTCATATACTAATCCTGTTCTGTTTTGTGCCTGTTCCAGAAACTCCATATTCCATTCCGTCCTGCCTGCCACGTCCAGCCCAACCTCCGTCTCAGCCCTGCTCCACGTTCTTCCCACTCTGTTGAGAGTTTGCTTTGTCTCCTGCCTGTTTTTTGAGGACTTGAATAAATCCAGTCTTTTGACACTTCACCTAAGTCTCCATTCTTGGCCAGAACTGGCCAAGAATGAACCCGCAGGATCCGGAGCAGATTCTACCCCAATCCTTCATGCCCTGTCAAGTCAGGGTTCCCTCCTGAGTGAACACGAAAAGCTCATCCGAGCGTTGGTTGAGAGTAACCGGTCCATGGCTCAACATGTCTCCGAGTTGGCGTGCCAGATCTCCGCTCTCACTACCTCGACGGTAGCATTTCAGGCTACTCCCAGTCCAGTCCCTTTGCCCCCTCCTCGCCAGGATTTTCCTATCACCGATCCTGAGCCATTTCACGGAGATGTGGAGAAATGCAGAGGTTTTTTGTTTCAATGTAACAAGGTTTTTCGCCAGCGTCCTGTTGCATTTGCTGCTGAAGCAACGAGGATTAATTTTGTTTTGGGGTTGCTCCACGGGAGAGCTTTAACCTGGGCAGAGGCTTTAAACTCTTCGGTGGATTTTGACACTCTACGTTTTGAGGGCTTCTCTGATCGGTTCTCAGCTGTTTTTGATCATCCCAACTCCTCTGGCTCCGCCGAGAATAAGCTGCTTAGCCTGCAACAAGGAAACCGGACAGTGGCTGATTGCTCCATCGAGTTTCACACACTCGCTGCAGAGGCTCGATGGGACGAGGCGGCTCTCAAGGCGGTGTTTTTAAGAGGATTAAGTGACCAGCTTCGGGACGAATTTGCAGCACGAGACGTTCCAGCCAGCGATCTCTCAGAGCTGATCTCCTTAGTGTCTCGTTTGGACGGTCGTCTACGGGAGCGCCGAGCTGAGCGAACACGGAGGGATTCACCAGTCTCACTCAGTAAGCCCAGTTTTTCCTCCTACTCTGCTCACTCGGTGTCTAGACCTCCATCTTTTCCTCCGCCGTCCAGCGTGCGCACCTCTTCTCAGGAGGAGCCCATGCAACTGGGTCGTGCTAGACTTTCTCTGGAGGAGCGTCAGCGCCGGATAGGTGCAGGCCAATCTTTTTGACACTTCACCTAAGTCTCCGTCCCAAGTGTTCTTGCATAGCGGGTTCAAGTTTTGAGTCTCTTTACGAGGAGCGTAACAGGTCCGCTGCAACTCTGAATAATTTTAAATCCAGGTTGAAGACTTTTCTTTTTGTCTGCTTTTAATTGAACTATTCATATCTTAAACTGCACTGTAACTTTTAGCCATGTATATTTTCTTTTAATGTTTATTTTATTAGCTTTTCTTTTTAATGACTGATTTTAAATGCCCTTTTCTTAATGTATTTTATTTTTTGTAAAGCACTTTGAATTGCCTTGTGTTGAAAAGTGATATATAAATAAACTTGCCTTGCCTAAGACGACCAGGGAGGCGACAACCGTAACAAGGGGTGTGATGTGTTTTCTCTTGAGTATTTGCTTTTACAACCAAGTGTTGTATTGAACAAATCATTTAATTAAGCATATATTTGTTTAAGCAATGAAGAAAAACAAAAGAGCAATATGATGCTCACGGATGTAGTGAGCTTTGAAAGGAAAGTAAAGAAGCAAACTCATGACCATCATCTTTCTTTGGAAGAGTTCCAAACATAAACACTAATTATTTTTGGGCTATGATGCATTAGTATAGTTGTTGAAGCTAAAACTTGAACTGTTTGCCTGTTAATGGGGGGTCGTGTGTCGTAGTGGATTGTCCGGTGTTCGTATCAGGGGTCTCAGGTTCAAACCCCACTGCAGTCAGCATGTTGTTGTGTCCCTGGGCAAGACACTTCACCCCAATACTGTGGGGATTGCCCACAGTATTGAGTATGTAAGTCGCTTTGGATAAAAGCGTCTAACAAGTAACATGTAATGTTAATGGGAAATAAACCTCAACTTCTGTATTTATTTGGCATGTGCATATGGTAACTGTTTGCATATTTAAAAACTATATTAGAGATGCACCATTGTGACATTTCTCAGTCGATACCAATGTTTTAAGTAACAATTTTACTGATGCTGGTGTTTTGTGCTATTTATTCTAACAACTATATTTTTTTTAAATAAAAAAGAATAGAAGCTGATATTCATTTATCACACTAAATCTGGTTGAGCACAAATACCTATAAAGCACCTTTTAACAAAGTATTTCTAGTCTTCGATACAATTACCTACTTTAGGAAAATATTTTTAGTACCAACCGTAAGTGGTTGCATTTGACTCTTGTCTGTCATAATCCATTATCACTCGTCATTTTTATAATGATATTCTTGTCTTCAATAGGCCTTCATAACAACAGCCTAGTTAATTAAGGTTTTTTCACGAATACTCACATGTAAGTGACCTCGTTTACTTATCATCACCATATCCAATGAACTGGATAAAAAGTGCGTGGCGGTATTACGAAAATAGTATTGTGACATCGAGTCAGATGAGCAAAGGGTGGTGGTCGTAAGGGTGGCCCTAGTAAACATGGAACATTCTGGTCGACTGTCCCACATAAAGACAACCGGTTAGGAGTAAATAGTGCCAGGAATTGAATGAATGCATGCCAACAGATTTTATAAATGGGGTTATTTCTTATGGACCTTGCTATGTACACAGTAGAGTTATCTGTTGGCTTGTACTTAGGAAGTACAAAAGTATTAAGAACACTGTTGACTAAAATATCATTATATGCTTAATCATCAATATGTCCAGGATATTGGACGATATCAGAGCATCAAAGCCAGGAAAGGCAAGTTAATTTATAAAGCACCTTTCAACACAAGAACAGTAAACAATGATCACTGGCCGCTAACCTAAAGTACACATACGTTTGGAGGCAGGGATATATATAACACATACTGTGAGAGTTGTATCGCAGAACTTCCTTCTGTATTTTGCATTTGTGTACCTGAAGGTTATAAATGATTTGTTTCAGTGTGGGTCCAGTAAGAACAATGGTGTCTAGAGGCGAACGTTTGCGAAATTATATTATCTCAGTGAAACACATGTAAAGAAAAGGTATAGTGGGATGAAAATGTACGCATGTTGTTAATTATTTTTGAAAATATTTGAATATGTTGGAGTTTAAATGTGTGTTGGACATGCTGTGGCTGATAGCTGAACAGGCAGTGGATCAATATCTTGTTTGAAGAGCATTCTGGTTTTCCTCAAGTCTGAGCCAATAGATTACACAATATTTATACAAAGGACTTGCTAACCAAGTATAAACTCTGGATTTCCCTCTCAAAGTCACCCTGTTACCTGCTGCAAGTGCAACCTCAACTGATCATCATAACAAGGTAAGGCTCTCGTACTTTTCTTTCATTATGGCTTCATCTGTTTTGATACCTACAGAAAGAGATATCATAAATTCATTATTACGTTTAGTTTTCACTTCTGAAAAAGTGAAATCACCTTTTCATGTCTGGTTCTTTACAATGTCTTGTTTCAGTAAAACCTCCAAACTTTTGTGTATATATTTTTTATTGTCTTCTCTATTTCTGAATTAGAATCTTTTTTAATTTTAATTTTGTAATTGAGGTACACATTAAGACATTAAATATACTTGTAAATGATGCATTAACTTATTAATAACTTCTTTACACAGATGGCTTCATGTCTTCATTTCATTGTGGTCCTCTGTTTGACCAGTGGACTGTGGAGTGGAGCAAATGTAAGTTTTACGCACACTAATACATTTATATACCACGATCTTTAGGGTTATAATAAGGTATTGAATAACACACAATAACATATACAATTAAGTTCCTATTAATCCATTGATAATGATGTTTTCTTTGTGTTCACAGGCACAGAAAGAAGGTTGGTAATTATAAAGTGACTTGTACTTTCTACCTGCTGCTCTAACAATTAATTATTTTCCCAAATTAAGGTTTTAGTTACATTGTTAAATTGTTGAGCTGCTGGTGAGGAATAGTAACACAAAGAGGGGATTTCTCCTAAAGGATTATTACTTTAAAATATGTTTTAGTCACTCCACCAATATGGAGAGGAAGAATGATTACTGCACTTCTTTGAGGTTTTAAATTGCTCCCAAACTATAAAATATCACTTTAACGCTTTTCCTCTCACACTTATTCCATGCCAGATTAATGAATGTCCTTATCATCTTTAGAAAATCCATGCTGACCCATGTAAGACCTGCCCTTCTGGATGGACTCCGTTTGAAGATCACTGTTACATGTACAAGCATGCTGCTAAGACCTGGGCTGATGCAGAGGTACATCGAGGAACAATACGAGTTATAACTGACCAACATGTTTATAGAGTTCTCACTTCTATTTCCTCATTTAACTCTCGCTTTTCTCTCACTTGCTTTATGTTATTTTATTCAATCCACACGTTGCATATTAGGTGGACTGCATTGCCCTTGGTGGAAATCTGGCTTCAATCCCCAACCAAGAGGTGTACACATTTATCAGAAAGATCATAAACACAGCGACTAACGCAAATGAACAGACTTGGATTGGAGGCAATGACTTGGCAAAGGTGAGTAATTTAATATTAAACACGATGCAATGGGTTCGTCTCCTTTAAGCCTGACCTTGAATATATTCGTAATTAAATTTGCACTTAACTTTATTGTTTAATATAGAACCAAGGTAAAGCTGACATCTGGACACTGAACTATCAGCAGGGTTGGATGGGGTAAAATATATTTTTTTTATTGGATTTAATTGATCATTAAACTTTTTTTTAGGAGGGCGTGTGGATGTGGAGTGATGGTACCAAGTTTGTCGCCAAAAACTGGTCTCCCGGCCAACCCGACAATAAAGGGTCTCGAAACTGCTTGTGATGAACTTCGGTATGCACTAATAATCTGTTTACCACCAGCAATGTCAATTTAGCTGTTAAAATTCATGTTACAAAAGTCATCTTTGTAACTGATAACTTATATAATCTGGATTATGAATTTCATTTATTTATACATAACATTAAGTAGAATCCTCTAAAGTATTAGATTGATATACTATTATGTAACTTTTTAATTATTTGATCTACCTGATCCATTCAAATGTACTTGTTAAAAATGTGAAGTTAGGCTTTAGAAAACTGTGACCATTTCTGACATCGTACACATCAAATAATTGTGTGATTGATTGATATTTTTGTTTGTTTCCTAACTCTTAAACTCTAGATCTTATCAATGATTCTCCTTGTACCCATTTGAAACCCTTTGTTTGTGGCGTGCGCCTGTGAAGAACCCTGGCCCCCACATGCTGACACTATGATGTCACCACCCCACTCGTGATGTCTCTTCCACCAGGGTGTCAAGCCTCGATGACATCACTGCTGGAAGCCATTTTGAAATTTCTGATTTTATTTCAGCTGATTTAATAAATGGATACATCCTGTCCAACAATCCGTCTCATCTCTTTTAAAGCTAAATATGTGTTCATTTAGAAAATAAAATCGAATCAATCAACTGGTTTATACGACAATAGGGAAAGGTAGAAGAAGTAAATCGACAGCCCAAACATGAACCGTAGCCACAAAGCAGGAAAATGCACACAAGTATGTGGACAAGGGTGTCAATCTTTTGACACAAGTACATATCTGCTGGCCTATTTACTTATGATCACCATCATCTCCCCGTTGAAGTTTGTTATCTTTGAAGACTATATATTTGTTTTCTCTCAAATTCATGCCAATAATATCTTATATCTAATAAAACTAGAGACCATTTTGCAAAGGGAAAACACCAGCTGCAACGCCAAACTGGGCGAGGGGAGTTAAGTGGGGGTACATTTTTTGTGATATCAAATGGGGACAGGGTTTAAATAAAACCCCTTACCACACTGTGCTGTGACCATACTTGTTAAAGTTTGCCTTGATTTTGATCTTGCAATATAAACACAGGGCATATTTTATAAATGCACATTAGTTAAGTTTAAGTTGTCTTTTCTAGGACTTTTTTGGTGTCCTCCGCGAACCAGGGTCTTGAAACCAAAACGGCACACCTAGGGGACTTTAACCCCAATAATGACTTTAACTCCCTACCGGGGGACTTTAACCCCAATACACGTAGGGGACTTCGACCCTAAAAATAATAAGCCTGAATATATTAATTAAAAGCAGCGGCAAAATGGCATTTAAAAACAGAAAAAATACATGAATAAAGGTTACAGTGCAGTTTAAGATGTGAATAGTTCAATTAAAAGCAGCGGCAAAAAGAAAAGTCTTCAGCCTGGATTTAAAAGTAGTCAGAGTTGCAGCGGACCTGCAGGTTTCTGAGAGTTTGTTCCAGATATTTGGAGCATAATAACTGAACGCTGCTTCTCCATGTTTAGTTCTGACTCTGGGGACAGAAAGCTGACCAGTCCCTGAAGACCTGAGAGATCTGGATGGTTCATAATTTAGCAGGAGGTCAGAAATTATTTTGGGCCTAAACCATTCAGTGCTTTATAAACCAGCAGCAGTATTTTGAAATCTATTCTTTGACACACAGGAAGCCAGTGTAAAGACTTCAGAACAGGAGTGATGTGATCCACTTTCTTGGTGTTAGTGAGGACTCGAGCAGCAGCGTTCTGAATCAGCTGCAGCTTTCTAATAGATTTTTTAGTGAGACCTGTGAAGACACCATTACAGTAGTCCAGTCTACTGAAGATAAAAGCATGGACAAGTTTTTCCAAATCCTTCTGTGACATTAGTCTTTTAATCCTAGATATATTCTTAAGGTGATAGTAGGCTGATTTAGTAGTTTTAATGTGACTGTTGAAAGGAAAGTAAAGAAGCAAACTCATGACTATCATCTTTCTTTGGAAGAGTTCCAAACATAAACACTTCTTCTTTTTAGGCAATGATGCATTAGTGTGGACTGGTACTTGGTGAGGTCTCAGTTCACATCCTGGGCCCTGCCGTGGTGCCCTTGAGCAAGTCACCGGACATCCCCCCCCATGCCCCTCACTCCCATTGCTCCCTGGGCGCTGTACTTAGCTGCCCACTGCTCCTAGTACTAGGATGGGTTAAAAGCAGAGAACAAATGCCAGTGCGTGTGCTGTGTGCTCTGCATGTGTGGCCATTAAAGAGGGTTTCATCCCTCCAGTTCTATAGTATAGTTGTTGAAGCGAAAAAGCAAAAACTTGAACTGTTTACCTGTTAATGGGAAATAAACCTCAACTTCTGTATTTATTTGGCATGTGCATATGGTAACTGTTTGCATATTTAAAAACGATATTAGAGATGCACCATTGTGACATTTCTCAGTCGATACCAATGTTTTAAGTAACAATTTACTGATACTGGTGTTTTGTGTTGTTATTTATTCTATTTTTAAATTAAAAAAATAGAAGCTGTTTTTCATTTATCACACTAAATCTGGGTAAGCACAAATACCTATAAAGTACCTTTTAACAAAGTATTTCTAGTCTTCGATACAATTACCTACTGTAGGAAAATATTTTTAGTACCAACCGTAAGTGGTTGCATTTGACTCTTGTCTGTCATAATCCATTATCACTCGTCATTTTTATAATGATATTCTTGTCTTCAATAGGCCTATAACAAAAGCCTAGTTAAGGTTTTTTCATAAATACTCACATGTAAGTGACCTCGTTCACTTATCATCACCATATCCAACGAACTGGATAAAAAGTGCATGGCGGTATTACGAAAATAGTATTGTGACATCGAGTCAGATGAGCAAAGGGTGGTGGTCGTAAGGGTGGCCCTGGTAAACATGGAACATCCTGGTCGACTGTCCCACATAAAGACAACCGGTTAGGAGTAAATAGTGCCAGGAATTGAATGAATGCATGCCAACAGATTTTATAAATGGGGTTATTTCTTATGGACCTGGCTATGTACACAGTAGTTATCTGTTGGCTTGTACTTAGGAAGTACAAAAGTATTAAGAACTCTCTTGACTAAAATATCATCATATGCTTAATCATCAATATGTCCAGGATATTGGACGATATCAGAGCATCAAAGCCAGGAAAGGCAAGTTAATTTATAAAGCACCTTTTAACACAAGAACAGTAAACAATGATCACTGGCCGCTAACCTAAAGTACACATACGTTTGGAGGCAGGGATATATATAACACATACTGTGAGAGTTGTATCCAGTGCTTGAATTGGAATGAAAAAGGTGCCAGTACTCTAAAATCAGCAACTTTTTCAAGTCAATTTTATATATAGGCTACAGCCACAAACAAGAATTTGGCTACTATAATGCTGGTGGGTTTGTCTCTTTACTACTGTATATTTTAGAAAGGTTCACTGTACTTAACATTTTTTATGATAGGCAGCGGATATGGCTAAAGCTTAGTAAGGTCAATATTAACTGAAAATATAGCAATCAAAGTCTAGATCTTCTGCTGAAGACACATGAAGCAGAGACCTTTCAGGTGAGAGCCCCTCTGGTGGTGTTCAACATTAATGACAAGGAAACAAAGCTCTGGTCAGAAGCATTTTTTATAAAAAGCTTTAACAAAATTAAGTATTTCTGTACATTTTGAATGCAATCTAACTTTCCAACTCAGAAAACGAAAAACGAAAAAGTGCCAAAAGTCTTCTCACATGGCTGAGCTGCTTTGCAATATACTTCACCACTGAAGAATACAAATATGTATAAAGTAAACTATGATGCAATCTAACTTTCCAACTCAGAAAAATGATAAAGAGCATGAACAAAGAACATGTAAAAACAAATGCAAAATTTGGACAATCTAAAATGAGAAACTGTAACTGCAAGTAACAAAGTCTGAGCCATGGTAAAGAGTTACATTGAACACCAAGCTGATCAGATAACTCCCTGGTTGGTCTGAAGTCCTTCTATCTCCAGGATCTGTACAAATCGGCACATTATGCCAAAGTCTTCTCACTGGGTGAGCTGCTTTGCAATATACTTCACATTATTAGAAAAGGCTCCAGAAGGCCTTGGGGACATCAGTATCAGGGGCTGGAGCTGGACAGGCTCTTTCATCAGCACTTCTCCTTCCCTTTGCCAGCCAGGACCTTACATACTGTTCCGGATTGAACTGTCCTAGTGATGGTCCATTACATTTAATGAAAACCAGGCTGGACAGTCGGCTGACAGAGAGAGCATTCCTTTTTGCAGTAAGGATATCGTTCATGCAGCTGAATGCCCGCTCACACTCACTAGTGGAGACAGCGATGGTTCGGACTGCTTTCAGTAGAGGCTCCATGGCAGCAGGTGTACGGGATGCCCTGGTTTCCTTGTATTCGCGAAAGCCCTGAACAGTCTCTCTTCTGTCCACTTTCAGCACTTCGCACAAACGTAGCACCTCTACGTCCCCATACTGTACGTCTAACTCCTCTTCAGGCCAACTTCCAGGATGGATAACTTTCATGTCCTGGATTAGCTGATTGTCCCGGGCCTCCCGGCCATGTAATGGGATTTCTCTTGTGCTGACATGAGAGGAGGTTGTGGAAGTCATTCTGTGTCTCAGATTCTCTACCATACTGCGGAAAAACTGACCTGCATGAATCTGTACAAGCCTGCCATTCTCACGCAGGGCAACACCCTTGAAGGACTTCTCAGCTAGAGCTGTATGAACTGTAGTTATGTGTGGGCCAGGCATGGTGACCATGGATTCAAAAACTCGTATTTCTCGAGTTAAGAGCCTATCTGCTGTAGGCAGTGTCATCTCTCTTTTTTGGAGTTGCCGAGAGAGGTCGCTGAGCTCTGTGAGCGCATCGTACATCAGTCCCAGATTGCTGACAAACGTTGCAGATGTGAGCACATCATCCAGGCCCTTGTACTTTGCTCTGTCTCTGGAATCCCTGCTCGTGTCGTTTGCAGCATTTGTGAAGTGATCATGAAGCACTCGGTAGTTTTCCCAGACTGCTCTGACGCT